CACCCTCCCTATATATACGGTGAGACCACCACAAGTTATCCAACGGCATTTCATCGGGTTTCTCTAACAGTTAACCAGTACCCTTTTATACTCCTGGGTAGAGCCAGGTATTGTGAGAGTGGGTGTGTCTTACCCAACAAGACAACACATGAACCTGGCCGAGTGTCAGACACAGACCTCTGTTCTCCATCTGGTGTCATGCGCGCTGACCGTTTAGTCACCGCGCATCCCAGTGTTAAACATTGTAGAACTTTAGTAGACAACCGGTGATTTTTTGTAAAGGATTTCTTGATCCCAAACTATTTGCAGAATTCTTACGCCAATGAAACATCAATGCACGACGTTCACTTGTAGAGACTGAAGTTTCAAAATGGCCGACTGTCAAGCTACAGGGGTCTTTTCGCCAGAATCAGCGTTTTTTATGCAAACTTCGATTTTGGCTTAATTTCTACCAAGCAATGATGAACTTTTGCTTTACAGGCAAATGCGAAAAAGCAAGCTTACTGTGTCCGATGAAAATGATAAAAATATGCAGAAGAAAACCGCAAAACCGCGTGCTTTTTTTTTTTTTCAACGCGATAACGCGAAAATGCATGGAGGTTTTATGCATTCCTTCGTCGCTTATCTCTGAGTGGTGTTGTTCAGGGTGACCATCATACATTAACTATGCTACATTGAATAAAAAGTCTGACGCACTACAGAATAATGATAAATACCTAGCAGAGAAGGATCCTCAGTCAAAGTACTCGACCTTAGTTTCAATACTGGTCGATTCTTTTCTTCTCCATGTTCGTCACTCACAAGATTTCGACTTAAAATGTCATCAGCTTCATCTAAATTGAAGGCGAGCTCCTTGGCATTGTCTTTTTCTCCAACCTTTTTTGTTTCTTCGTTGTAGTCAAGAGATCCTTCTTTTTGCAAATCTTTCAAATTTTCTTCAAGAACATCAGGTAAAGAGCTGTTCTCAGTCTGTACAATTTCTTGCCTTGAACTTTCACCTTGATTTACACGAGCACCCAAAAGCCGCAAATGGGGAATAGAAGATATCTCATTGTGCTCCAGGTTGAGATATTTAAGTCTGTCAATAAAAACAAGAAGAGCTATATCATGTATGGGTGCGCACATATAAAAAAAAAAGTTAATAAGATTCTACCGTTATGGTAATGAATTAAAACCCTACCTTTTCAGTCCTGCCAGACTTGCAAATGTCGACAAATCTGTTAATCCATTGTGATCCAGGTATAAGTTTTCCAGAGCAGGAAATCTTAGCCTTTTGTCTTCTGATTCAACAGTACCTGAACTATAAGGATGACAAACAAACAAAACAAAATCAGATTGTAAAATAATAAGTATCTGTACTTGTACAGGTCTACTGATAATTTTGCACATTAAGTATTAGTAAATGTATATAAAATGCAATAGAGTGAAATTGGCACTTACTGCGTCATTCCTGTGATAGTTCTATATGTTCTTGTCATTTCAACAGGAAGCTTTTTTATTTCATTGCCTAAAAGAGAAGGGAACATTTCATAATTCAACGTGCAGGCACTGACAATGCATCATTCCTATTCATGTGCACAATGGCAGTCTTCATGGAGAGACTCATGCAGTCAGCATGTAAGCAGTGCCTCAAAGAGGGAGGAACTCTTTCCAAGGAAATCTGTAGTCAAAGAATTTTTCAACCTATCTTGATAATGAGCTGTTGTTTGTCAGTTAGCCAGTCAGTTGATCAGCTGGTTGGTCTGTCTATCAGCTACGCTGTGAGTCCCTTTCCCTAGCTGCCATCAATCAGTCTGTGACAGGCAGTCAATCAGTCCATCAGTTTGTTGGTCAACCATTCATTCTGCCAGTTAGTGAGTCTCTTTAACTGCCTGGTAGACTGACTGACAGTCTATCAGTCAGTCATTCTACCATGCTGTCAAACACACTCAATCAGTTCTGACTTTACACTGCACATAATCTTGACACAGTCATAGTTAATACCTGTCAAATATAAGGTTCGAAGACTCTCAAGAAGCCCGAGTGCTAAGATGTCACCTCCAGTTAAACGATTGTATGACATATCTAGGGTCATCAGATTGGGAAACATGGCTGGCTGAACTCTTATGCTGTCACTAATATTGTTCAAGGGTAACTCAAGCTCTTGGAGAGCTAGGAACTTGCTGAAGGCCCCTATTAAAAAAAATTAAAAATCAATTCAATTAGTCTGAAATTCTTGGAAGAAGTTAAGACAGCATCCATACAACTATATAAAGCTTTCATATTCTATTCAGTCTATAAAGCTTTTAACTATAAAGCTATAGAAGCTTTAAACTATAAAGCTTTTATTTTCTATTCCCTCCGACGAAGGGCTAATGCTCGAAACATCAGCTTTTGTAATCGTTATGGTGGCCAATTTACCACTTCAACTTTGTTGATATATCAAAATCATAAAGCTTTTAGTTTACTTGCAAGCAATCAATAAATTCAGTGCATGATGCTCTTAAATGGTGCTTCAGATTTTTATGTTTTACACTGAGGACTGTGTAGTTAACAGAACCTTACAATATGTCAGAGAATTCATCTTCTCATGTGAAAAATATCTTTTACCCATTCTTTTTGCAAAGTCACAAGATATATTTACAACAACTGAAGGATAAAACCAAAATGAGGGCACAAACATCAAGACAAACTTCTCATCCTTCCTGTAACAATAAATCTCAAAAAGAGGTTTATTTATACTTACCAAATGGAAGATTGTTATCTCCTGCATCCACATGAATGACATTGTCAAATAACAAAAAATCATTTTCATTCACCTTGAAGGAAAGACAGAAAATTATCATAATTATATGGTACTACACACAATTTAGCTTTTTAGGAACTATATCATTACTTAATATTCAACTTGGAAAAGTTATCCATAATTAGGAATGAAAGTGTTTATCTTCACAATCTCCAACCACCTTTGTTCTTTATCTCGACTGGTAATTCCTATGATCCAAATTCCAGTGCACTAAAATCTCACTGACTGTTTTCTCATGGAAAAACCAAGAACAACTTTTTACATTTCAAACAGGACACACTCAGATACAAAAGTTAATATTCATGCATGTGGATAGACACTGATAAATTAAACTTATGACTTAAAACAATGACCTGTTATGTCTGTATATTATAATAATTAAATACTAGCACCTGTCCAGTAAGTTTCAAACCCCCATAACCCAGATTATCAATTGCAACAGTACAGAATAGCCAAAGCAGAAGGCATTACAATTATGTTATAAATACACAAATATATACCTCTCTAAGTTCTTGGCTACTTATTTTCACCGAACATAAGTCTGATGGATCATCAACATGAAAATGTTTCATCTGCATGAAATAGGGAGAAGACAACAAGTAAATATAACAATAAGGAGAAAAATAAATGAATGCAATAGAGAAAAATTAAACAGCAATATCATTGATCTAATAGTCATACATGACTTGTTGTCCATACTGTACACTTAGTAAAGTGTATTCTGAGATACAATGAATATATGAAGTTCATATATTTTGAACTGTGGTATTAGATACGTATGATGCATGATCCTCGCAGTAGATAGCGCTATTTATGCAATAGCGAAAATCAGACCTGAAAAAAGTCAGGCCTGTATGGGACTCGAACCAATGACCTCTGCGATACTAGTGCAGCACTCTACCAATTGAGCTAACAAGCCAACTGGGAGCAGGCCGTTAAGTTGATTCATAATAAACCCGTGAAAGTGATAAATGAGATACAATGAATATATGAAGTTCATATATTTTGAACTGAGGTATTAGATACGTATGATGCACGATCCTCAGAGTAGATAGCGCTATTTATGCAATAGCAAAAATCAGACCTGAAAAAAATCTAAAAAAATTTTTTTTTTTTTTCTTTTTTAATTTTTTTCAGGTCTGATTTTTGCTATTGCATAAATAGCACTATCTACTGCGAGGATTGTGCATCATACATATCTAATACTGCAGTTCAAAATATATTAACTTCATATATTCATTGTATCTCATTTATCACTTTTACAGGTTTATTACGAATCAACTTAACGGCCTGCTCCCAGTTGGCTTGTTAGCTCAATTGGTAGAGCGCTGCACTAGTATCACAGAGGTCAGTGGTTCAAGTCCCATACAGGCCTGATTTTTTTCAGGTCTGATTTTCACTATTGCATAAATAGCGCCATCTACTGCGAGGATCATGCATCATATGTAAAGTGTAATCTATATACAAGGCTAAAAGATTAGGGAAAAAATTTAAATGTTTGAGCCAAACGTTTTTGGCTGTTTGCCATCATAAGGGTTGAAAAAAAAAAAAAGTGGCAAACAGCCAAAAATGTTTGGTTCAAACATTTTAATTTTTTTCCCTGATCTTATAGCCTTGTATATAGAATACACATACATGACTCATTACAGGTTATATTGTGATAACGAAAAACTTACTTTACTTTAGTCACTAGTTGACTGGAGTTTGACTGATAATTCTTGTTAAAATAAAATAAAGTACCCAGGGCTTGGCACCAATGGTAGCCCACTAGCAACAGACTAATAGAAATTCGATCAGTTTTGGTTAGTGGTTATCAATTTCCACACGCCCAAGTTCAGCTAGTAAACAAACTGAAATTGTCGTAACATCTAAAATGTCACAAGCCACTTGGTTAATAAGTGGAAAAGTTAGTATTGAGCCCTGGTAGTCCTCTACAATACCCATTTGCTGTTAGACCTCATTATTTATGCATCTGCAAACTTACCAGAAAGAAACCATCCAGTTTTGGTGGCCCCTCTTCTTCTATGGAGTCTATTTCATCACTCTGTAACTTTGTTACTGCAGGCTGCCTTTGTATGATGGGATCCCCACCACAAATTACAGCCTTAAATCTTCTTCTTTGCTCTGCTCGGTAAGCAACAAGCCAAGCTCCTCCTTCAAGATACAAGCCAAACGGCTGATAAGAAACTGTTATAATTGTCATCTTATGGACTCTGGCCCCTCTTCATCCTTTTAGTTCCAGACTCTGGTTCATTAATTATGGGAAAGCATTATGTTATCTTCCGACAAACTCCCTATGAATTTGGTTTAAAGTTTGTCATAACTCATTTTATTGGGGTAAAATGTGTTTTTCATGCACTTCAACTGTAGTGAATTGTTCTTTCTCTGCAAATTACATTTTTTTTTTAGTTATATATAGCTGTAAAGTATCGCTTCGTCCATGATAGAAAGGCTACAAAATCCGGCTAGGTGAACGCAAACCCAGTATAACACAATGAATCCACGAGGCAAGATGGTCTACTGCGTTTCCGTGATCAATCATTTGTGAGCTGAACTGTGAGAACACCTACCGTCATCGTCTTGCCGTTTATATCGTGTTAAGCTTCTCACGGGGAAACATTGGCTGGAAAATCCTGTACCCGAGATAAAACCTGTTGTAGTATTTGCAGCTGACATTCCAACTGCCTTGAGGCGAGTTAGAAATTTCTCAAATGTCGTTTTGATGGAGAAAGTCTTGGTTTATGTGGAGATTTCAGACAGAGGTCTGACTTTCGAACGGGAGGCCGCCATGTTGAAGAACGAAACACATTAGTGACCATGGTAACGCTTGAGCTCTGCCTGATCTTGTTGGGGAGGGGGGTCGGGAATGCGTGAGAACTGTGGAATCATTTTAACTTCCGGTTTTTCCAGAGAAATCTTGAACACCCTCTAATTAAATTTTAACTCAAAATTCCGAGAAAATAGGTGCCATTAACGTTGCTGAATTGAGAAATGAGAAATTTAGTCGAGGTACTACGATCTGAACCGAAAGAGAGAGAAATCGCAGTCACTCTAAAAAGGTAAAAACCCCTCTGGCCTTGCGCCTCTCGAGCACCACCAGTCTAAATATAGATTTCGACATCATCCCAATTGAGTTGATGACATGGCGCACCCCCTGTCTGTTACGTTTAGAATCCTCACCTAATGGTGTTTGACAGTTCGTGATCCTAGAGCTTAATGGAGTTTAAAGACTTCAGAAATTTGCATAAGTCGAATACAAGGGGATTTACTCAAGCCTATAAGCTTACAAGACATGGAGTCCAAGTTCAAAAGTAAAGAGGCTTGCGAGGGGTCAGAGGACGCCGAAGAGGCAAGTAGAAATCTTACGGGTTATTTTTGTCCTTGCTCGCGATTGTTGCTGTTCCGTATCAATATATCAAGTAGTTATGTATTCGTCAGCCATATATTGTGGTACATTTATTCAGTAAAGCGAACGAAATTGGATCAAAGCAACATGATCTGGGTTCGCTTTGACATCGCGCTTGAAATTTAAACGGCCCATTGAACACTACTGAAAACGAGCCAACGAATATTGTACTAGGTTTACCTGTTACATGATTCCTGTTTATGTGCTTCAAGTTACAGCAATAATTTGCATAAAATTTGAAGCGTATTTCGATCGAATTTGCACATGTTTTTAAAGTTTAACCTACTTCCTTTGTATTCGATTCGTGTGTTGAAATTTCTGCTTTCGCCTCATTCTTCCTCGACATGCGGATCGATTATACTATTATCTTTTCCCAAGGCAAAGTTTTTTTAAAAAAAGACGTCAATTCAATAATCAAGTCCTGTAGACAAGCTTATTAAGCGATGATTGATCGTATCAAATACTGTAAGTAATAAACAAAAGTGTTAGTGCGATCCACGAATTACCTTGTAAGTGTGATCATGGACATTAGAGTTTATGTTCGCAGAAACTGAATTACTGTTACAGTAAGGGCGTTACGAAACTGGGGGTCAGCAGAGCACACCAATAGCATTTTTACTGAGGCATGTGCCGGAGCTTCACCTTCTCTTGGTCTTCGTTATACCCGAAAACGAAATGTTGAACATGGTTTAAGTTTTACTTAAACAAATTAATGGTTCCGTGGATTCCACAAGTTTTGGAGGTCCTTCAGTCTGCTGAGAAATAAAATCTTAAACAAATGGAGCAATAATCGAACAATCACGCGAGCGTGGGAGGGAGCCAAAATACATTTCGAATTGTACTGCCAAATCTTCATTGTAGCTCAAGAAATGTACCACAATGCCCGACAAAGTGATGGACAATATGAATGTCACCAAATATTATTGATTTATTTCGATATATACTCAATGGAAGGTGGAAACATGGCTGAGAATTAAATCAAAGAGGAGGAGCCTGAGCACGATCGAGTGATCGATGGACCGCGTTTTTCTCGTGTATGCCCATACATGGGAACACAGCCAAAGTGTCGGTCAAGATTAATTTTTGTGTAGTGGTAAATGCTAAGTTTAGAATTGATGATCAATTTATCCTTAGTCAAAATATTATTCTAACATTTATGAACAGGGGAAGTCCCTAGGTGAGCAGCTATTTTATGCTGGAGAGAAAGGGGATGTTAAAAGATGTTCAGAATTGATTGGTCAAGGAGCAGATGTGAACTGGCAAGCAGGTTCAAATTTGGTGAGGATAATATTGTATAACCATTTACCTCTTCCTCTCAAATCTTTTAATCATTAATTGTTATCATGACTCTGCAGTTATTGATGTGCTATTAATAGTATCACAGGATAAAGTTCAGGTTATTTCCCACTGGGTACACTTTTGCATTAATTAATTTTTTCTTAACAGTTGTTTGATTTGCTAAATCACAAATTACTTGTGACTCTACAGTGCTCAATTAAGCTGTTGTACATTATTGAATGATGAAGTCCATTTTATAGACATTTTTCATTTTAAAACAATGAATGGTTTTTGTTGAGTACCCCAACATTGCAAGAGTCATTTCTGATTTGCATGTCATTGGTTGTTATAAGTTATAAAATAATCCAATGGTGGATTTCATTGTAACATAAATTTTTGCATTAAAATTAAGACAATTAAGAAGCAGTTTTGCATTATACAAAATTTAGGTTATTTGTCATGGTCAGTTGCACCAAATGAAAAGAGACATGAATTTCATACTTTAGTTTGAATGCTAATCTGACTCAGCCAAGTATATAACACTGCTGAATGGATTAACCTAACTGTATAATCATCCATATTGAATACATTCTAAGTATACTTAAAGTATACTGTACTTGTCACTTTGCCATTAGGGGTTTTACTCTTAAAGTACACTTGGAGTGTACTGCAAAATTTTCAGTACCTTTCTTCAAGTTTACTTTAAGTATACTTTGTGTATCTTATGTGTAATACACTTTGATTACAGAAATAGTATAATAAAAGTGTACTTAATTTTGGTAAGGGAATTAACCCTTTAATTCCCATAACTGACCAAGAAAGAATTTCTCTTTACAATATCAACACAATATCAAGCAGACAGGTGATGGGAATAATGAAAATGTGAATCAGCAGATTATTAAGTGATCTAATACTACATTCTCTGAACTAACACATTGGAATGGAGTCAGAGAAAGTAAGAAGAAATGAAATCCTCAGTTGAGTGTGTAAAAGTGATTATATTACAGACATTTCATTTTGTAAGAGCTCGTAACTTACAAGAAGAAAATGAAAAGGGCCAATTAAATTAAGCAAAAGGCTTGCTGGCACCTGGCATTATAGAATTGGGGTCACCAATGATCAGCTTTTAGTTTCACTGGCAACTGTTACACAGTCAAATTTTAGACCCTGTTACAATAGATTGAATTAATCCTCCTGCTTTCTATGTTTTCCTAGTGGTCAAGGACCCCATTAATGCAAGCAGCTAAAAGTGGAATGACTGAAGTGTGTAAACTGTATTTGGAAAATGGTGCCAAAGTTGATGCATTTACAGTGGTATATACATTGTAATCTGGTAATCCCTTCAAACATTCAAACTGAACAGGTTGTCTGGTCATTATACATCAAAATCCTGCAGGAATGGGAGTCACGAGTTCATCTCATGAATAACATAATTATGATATTTCATCATAACTTTAGTAATTTAATATCAGAAAACAGGCAGTTAATTGATGCTTCATTGAAAGCTCTTGTAATTACATACCCCTGCACTAAAAGACTCGCTGACATTCTATACAGAGTGGAACTCTAAAGCAATATTCCTAATTCTAATACTTTGCATATGACTGTAACAGAGCTAATTACTGATCGGAGGTTTATTAGTCTCAGGGAGTAAAAACAGAATTGGCCACTGTTGTGGCTCGTAAGCTGACCAACTAGCTGTATGACCATAACGATGCAGTTTTAGATTATATTATAAAACTATATTCAAAATAATTCTTCAATTGATTTTCAGAGTCATTTCACTGCATTGACATTAGCTGCACGATATGGAAAAACACAAGTGTGCCAGCTGTTACTAAAAAACAATGCCAATGTGAACAATCAAACAAAGGTGAATGAAATGAATTTAATGCAGTATTCTGACTGTTTTGATTGGAGTTGCTCCCAGTATCACTTTTATTATGGATTGCCTATCCATAATAAAACTTTTCTAAGGCTTTGTATGGGACAACGGAAGGTACTTACAGTGCACGTGCTTTCTGTCCTGTCACAGAGTATGAGAGCGATCTCTGCAGTAACAAACACTATACTTAAACAGTTGTGAAAATAAGGTCTGGAAAATTTTTTTCAGGCCTTATTTTCATTACTGCTTAAATAGCATTCATTACTGCAAAGATTGCTCTCATACTCATATCGTTAACCACAGTTCAAATATGTGATTTATTTTCACAAATATTGCTTATGTGTTATATCTGTCATCAAATTATTCATCTTGTTTTCTCCGTGAGGGAACCTAAAAGGTAAAAGTCTGTTTATGAGCCAAGTGGCCCATCAGGCCAGTTTCTGTAGCATGAAGCAGCTAGGATTAAATCTACTCCCTCTGAATGGGTTGCTTGTCCAACGCAGGGTTACCTCCCAGTATTAAATTTGCCACTACTCGTTTAAACACCTGGGTGAAGAAAGGCACTGTGGGAGTAAAGTGTCTTGGCTATTAGAACACAACACAATGTCCCCAGGCCATGGCTCGCACCTCACCTCCCACATGAGGGAACTTGGAAATGCTTACAAATCTTTTGGTGGGTTTTGATGATAGGTTTTGATAAGATGTTTTACTGGCAAAGAATAATAGAATAAATAAATATGTAATTAAGTAATTACTAAGTCAATTAATCACTCACTTTGTAAACCTCCTACAAGCACCCTATTATCTCCCTCCTTCTCTCTCCCCTGCCCTCTCCCTCTCCCTCTACCCCTGCCCTCTACCCCTGCCCTCTATCCCTGCCCTCTTCCCTGCCCTCTTCCCTACCCTCCCCTCCCTCCCCTCCCCTACCCCCTTTACTATATCTAATGCTAAGCTGCAAATCTTTGATTAATTGATTAACTGGTAATATTTATAATTGTATGGTAAACACTAGTATATAGAATCAATGAGCATTGGTATGTTTTCAGGGGCACGAGACACCACTCATGTGGGCTGCCCATGGAGGCCATTCAGAGACTTGTAAACGTCTTTTGGAGTCTGGAGCAAAGGTTGATCTTAAGGATGAGGTAATATGTGTAGCAATTGCAGAGTCAGCAAGTTTAAGAAGACATGACATGTTTTATCATTAAGTAAGGGTTCATGTTTCCATGTTGCAGGGATTGAATTTCAGCGGGTGCCTTTCGAGAAGAATTCTTACATTTCGTGTTTCCGCGCGACATGGAGACATTACTGAAGTTTCTAGACATGTCTCCTTGTTTGGCTAGGGCTTTAATTTTTAATCAAACTGATGAAAGCAACATTTCATAATTAACAAATGGTAAACACCACAGCGTACACTATTGAGTTATGGATGTACGCGGGAGGTTGCTAAGCACGAAAGAAGCGTAAGAGTCGCTCGAGGCGATAGCCGAGAGCGACTCTAGCTTCTTGAGTGCTTAGCAAACCTCCCAAGTGCATCCATAACTCAATAGTGTACGCTGTGGTGTTTACCATTTGTTAATATTTTAAAAAAACAAGCGCGCGCGGAAAAATAGTCTTTGCATTTGCTCACGTCAGCAGCGTACACCCATGGGCAAATGGGGGACGCTAAATTGACCAATCAGAGCGCGCGCTTTACTTTGGTTATGTTATAAAAGAATTTCCGGTAAAGCTCAAACGACCTTCAGGGTTGTTATTAATGTTGTTTTGTTTAATCGGGTTTCATATGCCACCGTTTGGCATCAGATTTTAATAGTTATTATTACTAGTGACTAGGAAGCTTCCAAGGTTGAAAAAAACGCTACAAAATGCGATCCGAGTACACTGTTTCAAAATATTTTGAGTCCTTCCATTTTATTTGTCATTGCACACTGGAAAATCCATCACGTCTACAAACCATGATAATTTGCTCAAATAAATGGGAATCTAGATCAACAAAGGTTCGCAAGTAATGTTGTCTCCACAGGAGATTGTCACCTCCCGTTATGACGAACTTCCTATCAGAATTTCCTGGTAAATAGATCGTGTTACAGTCTCGTTTTCTTGTTCAAGCGAAGGAAGGTTCAAGCCATTATTAGTTAAAATACCCGGGATCTACTGAGGAAAAAAGCAAAACCAGCATTAACAGAAATGAAATCTTTTGGGTACTTGTTGATAACCTAACAAACAAGTGAATAGATGAACGATCACACATTTGAACTGCGAAACTTTACCCCTCTCAAGCAGAAAGTCTGAGACAAAGAAAGATGATAATGAATAAATCAATGAGCAAAATGCTTGTCATGGGAGCTTCGTGCGTTTTTCTGATAATACAAAAAGCGCCTCCACTGAAAATAGTTACAGGCTAAACTGTTGAAAAAGGACGGCTGAAGCCGGAGGTAGGGATGTTTCAATTTTTTTTTTTTAACCATATCATAACTGATTTATCGTTTATATATGGATAAAAATAACTACACAGCAGGATTAACGAAATTTCGCGCAATCGAGCACATGTTGACGAGAATGCAAGCATGCGAGCAATTGCAAAACTTTTGCGAGCACAAGCAAGCGAGCACCCGTGTAATTTTTGCGAGCAATTCGAGCAAAGACCAAATTTTGCGAGCACTTGTAAATTGAATGGGACCATTCGATACCCCTTCATTTAAGAGATGTTTACTCCTCAGCCTACAGGAGGCTTAAAAAGATTTAGAAAACAATCCTGCCACTTTAATCTGTCAATATTTTCAGTCACCTTTCTCTTTTCTGTATAGTTTTAGATATGCTTTTACTCATCAGATTATTAGATTTTGAATCTGTTCAGATTTGACTCCATTATTTATAGTTTTCCAGACACTCTGACATTAAAAAAAAGGAGTAGATGTGAGCCGAAAGTGAGCTATTTTGGATCGTTTTTTACCCTGTTAATATTTTGTATTGTAGAGGATTTTATGGAAATTATTGCTAAATAAATATTATTATAATTATTATTAAAAAATATTTTCAGTCACTATTTTGTCAGTAGAGTTTTATACTGAACTACAATTTAAGTTGTACTGTTGAACCCCAGTATGGTTTCACAGCACTGATCCGTGCTGCCAAAGGTGGCCATGAGAATGCCTGTACAGTTCTTTTGGAAAATGGAGCAGATGTCTCTGCTACTTCAAAGCTTGGGGATGAGGTATACATCTGTTAATTTTTCTAAAGTCATTTATTATTCTATCTGTTGTGTCTTTCGTGTTTTGATTAAAACGACTTGCCTGGTTATTCATTATTTGCGGAGATGAAAGAAAAATAATGCTTTAATGTGACGGCGTGATGCTGTTAGTGAGCTTCTATGCGCTAGCTGATGTTTGGCTGTGTAGCCGCGTGATGTGGTTCCAGTCCCATACTCACTAATTGACCCTTGCTCACCATAGAGTCTCCTGTAGCTCAGTGGTTAGAGCATCCGACTAGATCACGGAGGGTCGTGGGTTCAAATCCCATCTGGAAACTCGATTTTTAAAAATTGTTTATTTCATCTTTACATGCTCACTTTGGAGGCTGGTTGGCTGCCTGTGATGCTTTAATGCATGTGATGCTTTAATGTGACAGCGTGATGCTGTTAGTGAGCTTCTATGCGCTAGCTGATGTTTGGCTGTGTAGCCGCGTGATGCGGTTCCAGTCAATACCCACTAATTGACCCTTGCTCACCATAGAGTCTCCTCTAACTCAGTGGTTAGAGCATCCGACTAGATCACGGAGGGTCATGGGTTCAAATCCCATCTGGAAACTCGATTTTTAAAAATTGTTTATTTCATCTTTACATGCTCACTTTGAAAGAAAAATAAACAGATCAAATAATTAAACAAAATCCTGAAAAGCTATTAATCAAAGAAAACAGTAATTTACCTAATCACGAGTGTGTGACAGATATGATGTCAGTCTTCGATAGGAACTGGCTATAAAGGGCAGATATCTTCCACCGTAACCGTAATTTAAAGATATTTTTGATTGACAGGTCTGGGATGCTGAGTGTTGGGCTAGAGCCAACAAATATTCTCGTATTGAGAAGCTGATGAAGGTATATTTTGCAATTTCCGAACCATATAAATGATATATGTGAACTGCACTCGACAACCTGGTTCAGCACGGAAGAATTTTTTTTCCCTTTATTTTTTTCAGAGTCGTAAGGTCCTCTGTTCTCTTCTGAAAGAGGGTTCTGACCCTCCCTCCCATGTCACCCTGAATGTATGCGGCGCCGTCAATGCTGGGAAAACAACGCTCATTGCCAAATTGCAACTGAGTCCCGTGAGGCGACGACTGGCCAGGCGAGATGAACCGGACACCAGCCAAGATATGTCTTCAAGAACTGCTGGGATTGAAGTAGGAATCATTGATGTCCCTGGGGTCGGCGAGTTCCGTAAAATGGACATGGCGGGTCACACATGGGCTTTCACAAGTAATGAGTACTTTATTGGTAAGAGGACGTCCATTTCTTTGGTCTTGTTCGACTTGAGTAAGACGGACGAAGAAATTGAAAAGGATTTATTCCATCACCTGAGTTCGTTGAAGGCCAGGGAGACCAAAGTTGGGGTGCTACGTTTTCGTCCTGAAGTCGTGCTGGTTGCGACACACGTTGACAAGATAGAAAAGGGTACTGATCCGAGACTTCGAGCCAATGCCTTTTTCAGGATGACGAAGGAATGCTTTCAAGCTTACCTGAATTTCTATTCCAAAGTGATGGTTTTGGATTGCACTAATCCTAACGCTCACGATTTCGATTCGCTGCGCGTTTGCCTCAAAGAGCTCCGTGCCAAAATAATCGAGGTAACTTCATTTATTCGTAACTTATTAGGAACGTATAATGACTTTTTCTAAGCCTCTAGCTGTTTTTACAAGTTATCTGGGATATGCTTATCCCTTGATTATGTTAAACTTACCTTACAAACTTACTTAGTCTTTACTTAGTTTTCTCGCTCTACCAGCGAACTAACCTTACACCACTAACGATGCCATACCGTAAAAGGCGTGGCCACGAGGAAGGAGAGCTTTGAGGAACACATGAACCCCAATAGAAATAGACAAGGAAAAGTCACTGATATGTCAATACGAATCCCTTCTGGTAGAAAATCTTGAAAACTCACGAACAATGCAATTGAGTCGCTGCTTTTTACAGTGGTTGGCTGTCGTGATTATCTTACTTCTCCGATACACTCGTGAAGAGAACAGCCCACTCATGAGTTCACCATTGGTTATCTACACAATAACTTTATACTCACAAGTCGTAGATAAGTTAGAGTTGTTAATGAGCAATGGAGATTATTTTTTAAGGAAAATTAAAGCTACACTGTACTCTAATTTCATTGTAGTGATTCTTACTTGGGACGTGCACATCAGTTTTGATTTGTTACATTTCTTGTAGTGTTTTTAATCAAACAGCTTTTCTATTTTCCGGTGTACATTTCATATATTGAGGACTCCACTGTTCTGTATGTATTTCGTAGAGCATCTACACTCGGAAGCTTTTTAAGTCAGTTTCTTAAATCAATCAATCAATACTTTATTTACCCACGTAGCGTCAAGGAGCTCGTTCAAAATACATTGGTGACGTATTAAATCAACAAATCAATTCATTTTAAGTGGAAGCTCCCGTAAATTATGGAGACGCGTATAACTTTTGATGTCTGCAATGTCTCGCAATGCTGTTCATCTATTGCAGAACTCCGATCTAGTGCCCCGTTTGTGTGCGCAGCTATTGCCTCGCATTCGTGCATGGGCAAAAGAGAGACCATCGTTTCCCGTTATGTCCTGGAAGGAGTTTTTTGAGAAAGTGCGAGAGATCAACAATACAGCTGACGAGGAAGGAGTCAGAAATATCGCTTTCTACCTGAATGAAAGTGTCGAGGTAAGAGGATGTTTCGTAACCGCGGCAATTTACAATAACGAACGCATCAGTAACGCACACTTTAATGTGCACTTTTCGGAAAGTTTTAATCGCATTTTAACAATATATTCCCTTCTTATAGATCCAGTAAAGTTAGGTAACACTCTTTCATTTCCTGATCTTTGTCTTTGATCTTCATTTTTAGATTGTAAGTGACACTTCTCCTGAGCTTCGTGACCAAATTGTTCTTGACGTCAATTGGCTGACAGCTCACATTTTTGGAATTGCCTTGGCTCCCTCTAACTTCCCGCGTTCTCTTCGGGGCGACATAGCACATGGAATGGTGGGAAAACGCGAGCTGCAAGAAACCTTTCGTGAATGCCCTTTCGAACAGCTTATTAAGCTGTTTGTGCGATTTGAAGTGTGCCTCCCATGGGATGAAGAAAATCTTATTTGTGAGAACTACCTCTTCCCCAGTCACTTGGAAGAGGATCGCATCAAATCGGCCGAATTATGGCCAACGAAGTTGGACGATCGTTGTGTTGTTGGCCGTATTGTTGAGTGCAAGAACAAAACAGATGCTCTTCCCAACAGCTTCTTCTCAAAATTCCAGATCCGATTGTTGAGATGTTTTGGACACAAAAGCCCAGTTTGGAATCGTGGCATCAAAATCGCAGATGACACGGTAGAGATCCTCGCCTCACTTTCATCCACACTAACAGCGGTGAATGTCTGTGTGTGGGCGCCTAAAGGATGCGAAGAGCGATGTTACGACTCCATGAGATACATCGAGGGACTTAGGGATGATCTACTTGATGAGGTTGCCGGGGGAATCGAGTTTGTTCACAAAGCCATGAGCATCGAGGTGCTGAAACACAGAGATTTTGAAGGTTACCCGTTGACAGAAGTAGATGAGGCGCTCGAGAAAGGTGGTCCAAATGCCAGAGTTAAGCTTAGCCAAGAAAAATACGCAGTAAACGAAAGGGCGATAGATGTACGATACTGCGGAATTAGACGGTACGTGCATCCGTTTGATCACATAAGTCACTTTCCGCTGAGGGAAAGAAAGGCGTTATCCAAGATACTGGACTCCAAGATTGAATCTGACCACTTACAACTGTTGTCAGACCGGCTGAAAGTTCCAGTGGAACACGAGGACAGCGAATCTGGTAATGTATACGTATCCCATAGAGAGTTGTTATGTAGCGCTCGTTAAGAAGTGAGAAGGCTTGTAAGATATATTGAAAAAAAAAACATTGTTCCATCTGGTGTTGAGTTTGATCAGTTTACCGAAAAAAAAACAGGAAACTGGTAACTTGTTCTGTTTGGGTTCTAGCGTGATCACTTGCTCTGTTTGGGTTCTTGCATGATCATTTGTTCTTATGTCATAGTGTGTGTTAGTATTCTGGACTGAGTCATGTTTGTACTCCTCCACTTCACTGGTGGAGTAGTTGTTACCTTAAATTCTACCTAACTTTCATTATTGTTCAAAACCAGAAGACATGACTATTTGAAGTTGACGTGTCAAACTGAAACTTCAACTATGCCAATATGCAGTTTCTTTTTCTAATTAACGATGAAAACGAACGAGGAACTCGTTATATATTGTGAGTAGTCATTTTCAACAGCAACCCACCCTTCCTCTCCCTCACCCTCTTCCCAAAGCTAAAAAAAATCTATAACTACTTGACATGTGAACCAATTCAGTGAATGGTTTGAACTCAGGGGTAACTGTTTATCGTGTGGTCTGATCGTCCGGGCGAGAGTAGAACTGAGAAGAACTATAGTCAGTAGTGGTGACTGACGTTTCGATAACCTTAGCAGAAGTCATTCTCATAGTCGCACCGATTGAAAACTCAGTTTTTATCTAATCGCTTGTTCATTTGGCCCAAATAACAACAGGTGCTTCTCTTACGATTGGCACTTCCAAACAGCTGATCGTATTTGAGACAGTAAATTGATTCCGTGCCCTTATTTCGTTCGTTGTTTCAGGTTTCACTAGCGTTATTCCAGGGAGTAAAACAGATCGGTATCTCTCACGCTGTGCCTTTGAACGTGATTTGAGAGCAGATGACTTGATTCAAGCTTTGGAAGCTGCCAACCAATTCGAGGCTGCTACAATTGTTAGTCAGTGGTTTGCCAACGCCAAACGCTCTCAAGAGATCAGAACAATGTACAGAACTAGAGGTGAAAGCAGTGATTCTGAGCAAAGTTGTTCCTTTGCCTCACGAAGTCATTGGACAAGTGGAGTGTCCGAATATTCTGAAGTACGAACAGTGAGTATGGGAGGTGGCAGCGTCTCTGAGGGAAGTCCTCTCCTAAGGTCGTCTCCAAGGGTATCATGGATCAGTCGTCGACACATCTCTGTTTCCTCCGACGGAAAAGAAAGCGGTGCATCAGAGAGTAGTCTTCCCTTTGATGTGGAAAGAGAGAGGTGTGATAGCGGATTATCTTCCTCCGGAGGCAGTTTCAGTGGAGGAAACTGGCGACCTCGGTTGAAAAGTGAAAGTTCTTATTCTGGGCTCAGCTTCCCAAGTGAAGGGTCCTTCTTTTCTTGTGAAGAATCTCACACTGGTTCAACAGAACAAATTGTACCTGGGCCTCGTCTAGTTGTCCATCCTTGCTCGAAGTGTCATTACTGTACACCAAAACTACCTGCACGAGACAACGAGGGTACCAAGCCACCCCTCAGCATAGAAGAAACATCACAAGATACGGGTGCTAGTGGTCCTCAGAAAGATTCCGATCGTGACGTGTCACTGAGTCCCGTTCAGGTTTCCAATGGCATGTCTGAGGAAGAAGCTGCTGAAAAAGAATCGACTCCGACGTGTGAGACTGCAGGAGAACCGGAGCTTGGTGAATCTTTTCCGTCGATAAGGAGACTTATTCCCGAGCTCTCCACGAGGTTGAGTGTAAGTTGGAGGCCCGTCGCTGTTGATCTTGGTCTCAGACGTCGTGACCTACGACGTTTTGAAGACTCCAGCTTGCTTCGTGTCCAGGCTGAACAAATGTTGCACTTCTTGTTGGCCACCAACAGATGTACCCTTGAATGCGAACAGTGCCAAGAAGTGATCTCTCAAAGACTTTCAGAGGCATTTGAAAACGCATATCGCGCGGATCTCGTGGATTTCTTGCAGTATTCAAAAGGTTAGTTAACTCGTGAACTCGTTCCACGGTACCTTGTAAGTATGCCTCGTCGTTGAGAAAAACATTGTCTGCCAAAGGAATTTGTTTCGTAAAAGAATGGATTATTATTGCTCCTTTGCAGCTCCTGTCACTGTCGCCTGGTTAGCTCAATTGGGAGAGCGCCGGACTACTGTGCGGGAGGTCGAGAGTTCAATACCGGCCGGACCAACACTCAGGGTCTTAAAATTAATTGAGAAGAATATGCTTCCTTTCTTTAACATCAAGAAATGGTTAGATATTCTAGTCTTCTCGGATAGGGACGAATAAATGGAGGTCCCGTCTCCTGCAGGGTTGGGGTAGGAGACGTTAATTTCCCACTCAGGAGATTACTGTGTGATGGATGTCCTCCCTGGGGTGGGTTGGGTGGGTAGGTGAAATCGCTACGGACTAAACATGGCTGCCAGAGGCGCCTGTCTGATTTCAACCTCAAAAATTGTAACTAAACACGTATGTTGTTTAGAGAAATAGAGACCTTTACCTTTACCTTTACCTTTATCAGTGCACACAACCGAACAGTATTTTTCTACTTTAAGAGCACCTGGAATCTGCGGAAGTGTGAAGACTGAAGCTTGAAGTGTGTGGAGAAATCTCAGTTTCTAAGCAACTGAGCACCTACCCCTCCCCTAACAACAAACAGTCAACTGATAACATGTAACTGGATAATAGATATTGCTGGTAGCTTGGCTCGTTGCTATTTAATTAATGGTTGGTTGGAAAGTTTGTTCTGACTGATAGATATTTAAATCGAAAACGACGCTTTTTTTTAAACGTGTGAAAATGGGAAAAGGGGAATCATTTTTCATTTTGGTTTTCCCATCAATTCACAAAATGAGCATATCTTAAGAGATAGAATAGTAAGAGCAGAATCGTGAGGTATTATAATTTAACGCGACATGTATATAAAAAAAACAAACAAACAAGAGTCCAGTGCACAAACAAGAAATGAGTTTCTGACTTTATCTTAAGTTATTTCTATAATAAGTGTAGTAACCAAAGGGAGGATTAGAGACGTTCTTAGCGGGCCAATATTACTTCCATTATTTGATGACGTTGTTCTTTTCAGACATTTTTTTAAAATTCCAGCTTTGAACAGAATGTTGTACACTTTATTTACGGAAATCAGGCGCAGTTTAATGTCACAATGACGGCATATTACGTCTTGAAGGGCATTTTCCTATGTTAACTATCTTGACTAAAGTCGCGTTTTAATAATGGCCGTGTAACGTGAACTGACAGCACTACCTAAAGGACTGTACGAAAAAGTTACGGTCGTCTCTGAAAGATTTCATGGATACCTTTGCAAATCTTTTCTAATTTAATTTGGTTTTACTGCTCTTGCCTGTAATCCAGCTTGAAAGTCTTCATCCTTCGTCATAAATATTCCCATTACTAAACTGTCGATTAAAAAAAAAACCCTCACATTTATAATTTCCCAAACCACTAAACCTATGGTCTGGATTGCGCGGCAGCGAAGGTGTCAACATGCTAACTGAATACGACCACTGAATGCCTTTGGATGTTCTATAATAATTATTGAATCCTATCAACGATAAACTACAGAACGTGGCAAACGGTCAAAGCATACCGACAAACGCGATGTGCTTCCGGCACAGGGGAAGACGGAGGTTTTTTCTTACCGGTGGTGGCTTCTGCGAAGTGAAAATGAGGATCAATCTTTAAGGAGAAAAATTTTATGAAAAAGGGAATGACAGGAATAACAGTAAAAACTAATTTGTTAATTGAGGCCAAGGGGATCAGATTCCCAGACTTGAAGGTCTCTGAACGGATTAAGTATAAAAATCTAAATGCGCTTTAATTTCTCGAGTTGCGCTATAATTCCGCCCTAAGATTGGAAATTCAGATAATCATATCACGTCTTCTCCCAAACGTCTATTTCCCTTAAAAAGAGCCATTCAGCTTGACTCTGTGTGACTACAATCCGTAGACACTTAATCTTTGGGGAATCCACAAAAGTAACGTTTGCTTTTCCTTCTACAAAAGAACCGACTGTCGCAAAGTCTCCACAAGATTGCGCACTAGCAGCTGGCGATGACCATTTATTTATTGCCTCCCCGGATTCAAAATTCGCTTGAAGGACGCCAACCCTTAACCAGTCATTCTTAGCTAAATTGGAACCTGTGTCCACAAATACTTTCTCTGTGTTATCAGCTTGATCAAACTTTACAGTGACGTGGTCATTTGGTTGGACTTGCCTTCCCCAAAAGTAGCCATAACCACTTCTGTAAGCATCTTGAGGGATCCACGGGCATTTCGTCGTACATAAGGTAGAAATACGATGCAACATTTTCGAGGTCTTTGGCCTGATAAACCTTTGCGACATGACCCATAGTTGAGATGTCGAGTATCGGCCAGTATCCATCTATGGACGAGATGAACTCGTCCATCTTTTGAATTAAACTCGGAGAGGCCATGACATCATCTTCAATGTGAAGGTAATAAGTAGATAGTTTGCGACAATAACACATCAGAAAAGCAAAGTCTAAATTCTGTTTGGAACGCCACGCACTCCTCTCCTGTGAGGCACCATATTTCAGCCTAACATTAGACAAATCGGGATAGTATTCAGGTGATATCTCAATTACGTGTAATAGATTTTCTTTCCGGAAAAGCTTTAAAAGATCCAAAGCAGCATTCGCTTTCAAAATTTTGTCAAAGTCTGCGAGGAATACAGCCATAAATGTTTTATTTTTTTCAGCGTCATTCATGTTGTCCAATAAACTCAGGATCGTTTTTAACAGATAGTTTGCCCCGTCGGGTCTGCTTATTGAAGTAACACCTATTGTCAGGTGCCCTGAGAGTAAACAGAATGTATTCTTCAGATGATAGGCTTAAAACATCGCTGAGAGTATCCTGTTATAAAACGACCGTTATTTTTTGGTTCCTCGCACTACGATATAGCCTGCAGAACCAGCGTACACTTTTGCGTCTTACGGGCGAACGGAGACAAGCGTTAGGCATGGGCGAGGCGTGAATCACGCTCGAGGGGAGAAACGCGAAAAAGAAACGCTCCTCCGCTCGTGCATGACTCGTTCCTCGCGCTCGCCTCGCGCTTGCCTTCGTTTGACTGAAAAGCGCAAAAAATTACACTTGTTCTGGAGGTTAACTATGGAACATGTGCGATAAAGTCAGCCAATAGAATTGGGCGATTTTACACTGAAATCGTTACGCGCCATTTTTGAACGCGAGTGCTACCTATTATGGGGCCTAGGAAAAACTCACCCGTGATTTTCACGAACGACCAAATATACTGTAATACGTGAATAAAATAGCCTGTTGCGTCACCGGCTGCAAAGCCTCGATTTCGCACGAAACTCGCCTTGGGCTTCCATTAAGGCAAGTAAGGAGGGATAACTAAGTTATAAATAGCTTTCTTCGCATAGTTAGGGACTGAAAAATAATCCAAACGAACTTCAGATAATACTTACTCTGTTGTAATGGATATCGTCCAAGTTTATTCACCATTGAGCTTCTTAGGACTTGGTCACTGGGGCACAGATGATTTTTTTTCTCTGCAACAGCAAATAGGAGAACATGTTAAGTTCATACGCTGCAAACTATCCGTGCGATTACAAAAGATAGAGTTGATTGGTTGAAAATAAGCGGCGTAACAAAGAAATTTGCTTGGATTACGATGGACAGCGTGCTTGTAAATTCTACTCGCAATCTTCGATTACCAAATTTTGAAGGTTCTTAAACTGCTATAAACACTACTAATCCTGATTTCACTATCATGACAAACAAACGAGAGACGTTGACGTCATATACGAAATGGCCCGGGTGCATTTGCACTGCGAAGGAAAGTTGCGTAATTGAGCTTTTGTGACAGAGGACCTTCACAAGTGAAATAATGTTGTATATAAATTACTCTTGTCTAATGAAAATCAGAAATGGAGCGATTCATTCAACTGATAAGTGAAAAAATAAACTACATCGAGGTAAATGGAGAAATACACCAAGAAATGTCATGCCTCTGCACCGTAACCAGTCTCGAAGTGATACCCAATAATATTGTATTTTATTTGCATCGTGCTTCTGTAATTTTTTTGTCGTGTTTTCACTCTTACTGTCATCTTACATGGCACTTCTGCCGAGCGAGCGACAAAAGAAAACTAGAGCGCATTCAAGAGAGGGGTTTGCGCGCAGTCTTTAGGGATGGTACGTCCAAATACGAGAAGCTGCTGAATAAGGCTAAATTAACTACGTTGTATGAAAGGAGGCTTCAAGATATAGCCTGCTTGATGTACAAAGTGAAGCATGGCATGTGTCCTCAGAGCATCAGGAACTTGTTCTCATTAAGTAGCACTGACTACAGCTTTAGAGGGGCTGATTTTCACATAACTGGATTTCATTCGGTAACATATGGGGAACATTCGTTGAGAGATCTAGGACCAAAATTGTGGAATACCCTGTCTAGCAATCTTAGAAATTTCGCTCTGACGAAGGGCTAACGCTCCAAACGTCAGCTTTTTTATTCGTTACGGTGGCCAATTTACAATTTCAACTGAGTTGATATAACCAAATTACCTTGTTACCCCCACCGACGCAGCACCGCAGTTTCTTCAGTAACTTTTAGCCTTAGAAATTTACCATCGTTGCAATCATTTAAATGACAGATTCGTGATATCAATCTTTCGTTCAAGCTTAAACCTGACTGTGAGAACTGCATATTATGTAGCAACGGACATACATATTGACCTGTTGCTTTATATTTTATTTATCTATTTACCTATTTGTTATTTATTACATGCTCTAGTTAGTCTAAATAATGTATTATCTTAGTATAAATATCAAGTGTATTCATCATTATTGTTAGTTATCTATTCTTATCCTCTAGTATACTTACCTAGGCTAGTTGTTTTTAACCTCAAATTGGTTTTATTTCAGTGTCCCCACTGAGTAGAGGGGTTTTTTTCTTTACCCTCGGCTAAGTAGATTATAACTTTTTTTGACACTATAATAAAGTCATAATGATGATGATGATGATAATTAAAAATTATTGAAAAAAACGACGTTTAAGTGTCGTGAAAGAATTTTTCAACGTTTAAGAAAGAAAATCTCGTGCCAGTCGATAATTAACATTGTTTTCTTGTAATAAACTGATGTGTTCCTGCAGGAGTGAGGCTCATGTAGCAAATCATTGCAACTATAAATTAAGTATTCGTCCTCCGATATATGTTACAACTTGAGCCAACGAAATAAGTTCTCCAACAGTTCAGTGTTGTCACAGAAAGTCATAAATTACCTTGTCAAATCCTTTACATACTGTATTGCACAAAATAAGGGGGATGCTACAAACATGAAATCTGCAATTCAAAGCATTGTGCCTCATGCATTTGGTGACCATACTGGTTGTAGAGAAACATGGTGTCGATACAAGAAAGACCCTTTTCATTATTGTCACGGAGATCTTCCCTATGGCAAAGACCTCCAAGGAGATAGCCTTCAATCTGAGCCCCGAAATCTCTCTTTGATGAATATAGCACAGACATTTTTATAAAGAAACTTGCACCTGCAGCAAATTCTCAACGTAATGAGTCTCTGAACATTGTGGTGGGCTCGAAGAACCCCAAAATTCGCTTTTACGGGGGAAGTGAAAGCAATGATTATCGAGTGTCCTGCAGTCTCTCAAGTAAATTTAGGTTACAGGTACATTCCTCAAACTCTAGCGTCACTTAGCATAGAGCCAGGTCTTTTCTGTGTAGACCATAATACGAAAATGGACAAGAAAAGTTGGAAGGACAAACAAAGGAAATCAACAGTTGCATTCAGGCGACGTCGATCACAATCACACAAACACCAGATTTCAGAAACCTCAAAAAACGAGGGCAAAGAAGGTACCATGTATGAAAGTGGCATTGGCCTGTGTTAAGGATAAGTTGAGAAAACTGTATGATATATGCTGATGATTCCCAACTTTACATAAAGATAAACTCCTGTGACAGAATGCTGGGCATGGAAAGATTGAAATCATGTGTTAATGCAATCATGGAGTGGGCCAAGAAAAACAGATTGCAGTGCAACCCTTCAAAAACAGAAATAATTCATTTCCTCTCACGCTTCTCAAAAAAATCCTCCTTTCTGTAATATCAATATTGGAGATGATATCATTAATTTATCTAATACTGTCCGAGACCTAGGCGTCATGCTTGATTCTGTGATGAACTTACGCTCGCATTTAAATTCCATCTGTAAATCGTCGTCTCTAGCTATCAGAAATATTGGTCGCGTTCGTAAATACCTCTCAACGCAGCAAAATGAAAGATTGATACACGCCTTCATCTCATCGAGACTTGATTACTGTAATAGCCTATTGTACGGTCTACCGATTTGTGACATCGAAAAATTCCAACGGATCCAAAACACAGCTGCCCGCTTGTTAGTCGGTGCTAAATCAAGAGCAGTATAACACCTATACTTATGAAACTTCATTGGCTCCCGGTCACAAAACGAATTCAATTCAAGATACTGTTGATAACATACAAAGCACTAAATGATATGGCTCCAACCTATCTTGTTGAACTTCTTAGTCGATATATTCCAGCACGAAACCTCCGTTCATCAAACATGAATCTACTTGAGGTCCCAACAATTCGAACTAAAACGTTTGGGCAAAGAGCATTCTCCTACGCTGCACCGTATTTGTGGAATCAACTACCTGAATGCATAAAAAACGCCGAATCTGTTGACTCCTTTAAACGCTTATTGAAAACTTATCTTTTCAAAAATTAAGCCACCAGATTTTTTTTTGATATCGTACGTTGTCAAATATATGTATAACACGTAATAATTCATTAGTTTAGATAGAGTAGCGCAAAATTACATGTATAGGTCCTGGATTTTTGTTGAAATCTTGTTAATTGTAATTGTAAAGCGCATAGAGTTCAATTTTAATGCAGATATATAAGAACTTATTATTAAATAAACTGAAACGGACACCACCCCTCCCCTTCCCATGTAAACGTATTTGTCACGGGTTGCCATGGCAAAAAGAATAAATAAACGCACCAGGTTCGTTTTGGTCCGCCATATTGCTTGTATGATTGCTTTCGATGTAAATGATTTCGACCTCTCCTTCCGCGGCCGGTAACACCTGAACCTACACTCTTCTGCGACAACATTGGAGTTGAACAATTCTGAACTTTCAATCACTGATCTTTATGAAATAACCGCTGCTATCACGAAACAACAACAAGAACAGTACGAAAATGCAGTTCCGAAATACACTTCGAGACCCACAGTTCAAAAAGGAAAAATTTGATGACAGTAAATTTTATCACTTTGTTTTATTTGACATCGAGACAAATTCAACGGGAAAATCAGCAGAAGCATGTCAGCTCGCTGCCGTGGATAGGTCAGGTAAACAATTCTCACGCTATATTCTACCAACCAGAGACAGATTCTCACGCATCAAAGGTCAACAAACTTACAGTTAAAACTGTCCACCGACGTTTCAAAGATAATCGACTAGTAGAAGCCTTTGAGTTATCGCAAGTACTTAGGCAGTTCTTAACTTTTTTGTGGGCCAGCATAGATTCAGCTTCAACACGGTCCACAAAGCCCGTTTGCACAATCTTGGCTGGACACAACGCCGCCACATTTGATATTCCGATACTTCTTCGAAACGGTGGCGAAAATTTTATCGCGGAGCTCAGTTCCATCAGTTCCATCCGGTTTGCAGACACTCTGACACTGATGAAATACCGATTATCAACCAGAGTGCAGTGAAAGCTACTCTGGTAGTGTTTGCCTCGTCCGAAGCGATAGCTTCCCATGATGAACGTGAAAAGGCGAATAATATGATATCATACGACTCGATTAAATAAATTTATTGCACATAACACGCGAATTTTATTCCATAAAGCTCATTTGTAGAAATCTATACGCTTTATTTTCACACGTGAAAAAACCTATACAGCCAATCAGAATGGCGTACAGCCCTTTCACATGTCGAAGTATAACCAATCGAATTGCTGGAAAGAGTTACACGGGAGCTCACTTGTTCGTGCTCGCAAAATTTTTGCGACTGCTCGCATGCTCGTATTCTCAATTTAAAAGTGCTCTCAAAATTTGGCCTTTGCTCGAATTGCTTTATTGATATCGTACTTAGATTTTAAAACAAAAACTTTTGTAAGTGCAGTTTTCCGTTCAGTACTTTATTCCCTTGTGTACATGTACTGCGATATTTCCATTGCCATTAAATTTGCATTGTTAGTGAGTTTTTGTTTCTAATTTGCGTTTAGAAAATTATTTCAATGAAAATTCTCATGTTATGCGCAATAAACAGCTCCCGACATAGAAAGTGCTTTGTACGAGGCTTTATTCACTCGTTGTTTGTGTCAAAAGCCCTCACTCGCTCGTACCTCGCTCGTTCGGGTTTTTGACACAAACAACTCGTGAATAAATATATCTTTTAGACGTTTTGTTGTGTAGTATCGCTGAGTATTTTTACGAGTTGCGCCGTATACAAATAACGGGTAAAAATACTCAGCGATACTACACAACAAAACGT